ATCTGTTTTGAAATAACTGTAGTATATATATACTACAGTTATTTCAAAACAGATTTTCTTTTTTTATTATAGTAATATGTATAACTCAATGTTTTAACTAATTGAAAACTGAATAATCGTTCCAAACTTACTGATTAGGTGGCAAAATAATCGACGATTAGTCGATTAATCGTTCTAATAATCATTAGATTAATCGATTATCAAAATAATCATTTGTTGCAGCCCTAAGATATATATATATATATATATATATATTGTTCAAAGAATATCCACGCATCTCCATACGACAGTTTATACTGACAGACTTCAAGAAAGTAGTCAAGAAGTCATAATTCAACATAATAATAAACTATTCATTTAAAAAAAGCACACACTTAAGCAATGACATATATGGTCATGGTTTTGGAAAGCATTTACTAATGAACCATTCTGATTTTTGTGCTCTCTTCAGAGGAAGCTTGCTGACCAGGAGTTTGGCTGATATTGTCAAGAAAGAAGATTTTGTGCTGGACTCCGAGTACCTCATTACTATGCTGGTGGTGGTACCAAAGTAAGTGACATATTACTAAACATAAATAGTCTCTTTGTGGATGCACACAAAGATATTTTGTTGAAATTTTCTCATGCTGACAGCTTAATTCTCTAACCCTTATTCTCTAAGAACAAATTACACCGACTGGCAGCGCACTTACGAGACTCTTTCAGAAATGGTGGTGCCACGATCTACAAAGTAAGCAACAATTCTGTCAGTTATTTACTTTTATTGCCCTGGAAGTGTCTTGTGTGTCAGGGATCATGCACCTAGTCACAAAATAGAAATGAAGGAAAAGTAATAAGACCATGTTGTGTTTTGACTTTAGATAGTCAAATTATCTGTATTAATATGGTGCATTTTAACTACAGATATTATATTAGGATTTTGGAAAACCTGATATACAAAAGGTTGTTTGGATTTCATATGACTAAAAGGCATAATCAATAAGTGTCTGAGGCTTGTGGAAAACATGTTTAGGACTTAACTAGACAAATTAGTGTTACTAATGCAGCAGAACAAACAGACATCATCATTTTCCATCTGTCTGTAGAGTAAAATCAAAAATATTTTTTGATTATTACTGATGGTAGCACTAGTACTTTTGTATTAAAATGAGCATAAATTAATAACAGCCTGTTACTAACATGATGTATACATTTTCTTGAAGCAAAATATAAAAATTGTGATTTTGAGTGAAATATGACTAGGAAATGTAAGGTTCTCCCTGCTACACAACACTAAATATCAGTGTTATTTTCTTCCTGGCAGTTTGCTGTTTGAGGATCATGACAGCGGCCTGTTTTCCGTCACACTCTTCAGAAAGGCCATCGATGACTTCAGACACAAGGCCAGAGAAAACAAGTAAACAGCCAATTTTAGCTGTACCTTGCGGTCATGAATCACACCATTTAGAAAATGTCCAGTTTAAGGATCTTAATGCCTGAGTCATCCCAGTGTCTGCTCTGCAGGTTCACGGTTCGTGACTTCCAGTACAACGAGGAGGAATTGAAAGCAGATAAAGAGGAGATGACCAGACTCTCAACTGACAAGAAAAAGCAGTTTGTAAGTATCAGCTAGGTGGATCCTCAAAGCAACTGGAATCAGTTTTGGTTATTTAACTCTTTCATACGTTTGTCCTCTGCAGGGTCCGCTGGTCCGATGGCTGAAGGTCAACTTCAGTGAGGCTTTTATTGCTTGGATCCATATTAAGGCTCTGAGGGTCTTTGTGGAGTCAGTGTTGAGGTAGAGACAACCAATCATCTCTTCGGGTTCTCAGGCCCCATCCACACTACTGCGTTTTCGTTTAAAAACGGAGACCTTTTGCTACGTTTGCACCTCCCGTCCAGACTGAAACGGGAATAAAACGAAGGGCGTTTTAGTGAAGACGGGACAAAATGGAGGACTGTAGAAACGATGACGCAGAGGCTCGGCTCCATGATTGGGTGTCATCAGTCATGACGTGTCCTTCACAGACTCGTCAGCCACCCATCACATGACCCGTCCCCGTTTCTTCTTCATCAAATCTTAGGAATAGTCAACCCGTTTCCTGTTTACACCGGCATGCGCGTGCCCAGAGTTGGTGAATGGTCACGTGATCCACGTTTTCAGTGGTTTTAATGTGGACGGAGATCATACGCGGATAAAACGCTGGTGTGGACGGAGATCGTATTCGTTTTAGTTCTCCGTTTTTAAACGAAAACGCAGTAGTGTGGACGAGGCCTTAGAGAGCACATATCTGGAGGAAGCAATTTATTCTTTTGAAATAAGAGTTTATTGTACTATGCCAACTTACAACCTCCTATCCAGTCCAAAAAAAACATTTTTTTACATCTGTTTTTTTTTTTTTGGGAAATAGAGTCAGAGAGGCTGTTTTTAAAGAATGTGACAGTGAAAACTAGACTAAAGACTATATATTATTATTTATTGTAAATAAACAGATATGGATTGCCAGTGAACTTCCAAGCAATGCTGCTACAGCCCAACAAGAAGAACATGAAGAAACTGAGGGAAGTTCTCTACGACCTTTATAAGCACCTGGACAGCAGTGCTGCTGCTATTATTGACGTAAGTTTACTGTCGGCCTTAGGCTGTGTTTTTATGATGTGTGGTTTAAATCATTTAAAGGGTAACTAAACCCCTGGTCCGAGCCTGACTCCACCCACTGGCAATATTTGAAAATGCTGAAAAAGTGGGCTGACCCCAGCGGAGATAGAGGGGACGAAATAGATGCTAAAGCACTCTATCCTGATCGTTTTCAATACTCACAATTCCAATTCCTGACTCCCTACAGTGGTTTTGACGACACAAGATTGTTTTTATACTGCCAAGGGCGTAGCTCGCGTGGTGAGCTGAAACCTGCGTACGTCACGAAGTGCGGAACATCCAATAGGAAAATTCAACTGCAGTAGCCACCGTTCAACCTGAAGAGGGCAGCACTAAGACGTTTTTACACCAAATAGAACACTTTATAAACAAATGTCAAAAAAGTTACTCGAATCAATGACTGGTATTAATAAAGATCCATTCTTACAGATCATTAACTAAAAAAAGTTGGTTAAGCGTTTAGTTACTCTTTAAGGAATTATTTTAGCTTTTGTGGCCCTTACAGCATTTTCCACAACAGTCGCATTCCAAAAGTAAATAGTTGATAACATCACTCTCCAATAAGGCTTTAATTAGTTTACATGCAGTGAAAGTAGGCTACAATAAACCTACTGCATTTACTCTTTTATGAATTAGCGATTAATAAATGGCAAACTACTTCTTCACTGCTGATTCCTGGTGGTTTAGAGGAGAATTACTCCGAGTCGCCCCCTGTCGTTTCACAGAATAGCACAACGGCGAGCGCGTCAAGTATAAACGCCTCGTCCGTTTGGAGAGGTCGAGTATACACAAGGCTTGACGGGTGTTCACTGCGGGCGTCGAGAGTAGGCCGTTAAAATCCATTCTCTATTTTCGTTATCGAATAAAATTATGTTTGTTGGTCCGATCGATTGTGCAATCGATTTTCGAATGTAAAGTGACAGCCCTGTTTGCTATTGTTCAATCTCATGTGACAGGTTGTCCCTCCCTCACGGCATTAAACGTCACCAGAGGAGAGATGTTGCTGCAAGAGGGAGGGGAAGTTAAACGTGAATTGAAAAAATAATAATGATGTGAACGGATAAAAAACGTATAGCAAATACTGCAATGTTCCACAAAAAAAAAAAATATTTTAAATACGTTTCCTTCTCCTTTCTTTTTTCCCCTTGCAGCAATCCACCATGGACATTCCTGGCTTGAACCTCAGTCAGCAAGAGTATTATCCCTACGTGTACTACAAAATCGACTGCAACCTGCTGGACTTCAAATAGAAGAAGCATACTCAATCATGTGCCCCTCTCTTTGTCTCTGTGAATAAAACTAAGTTAAATTAACTGTATATTGCTGAACTCTCGTTAGTCACCCTGTCATGCATGCTTATCCATATTCAGAGATACTTCTCATTGCTGTTCATCAATGACGGCAGGAGAGTATCCATATCTGCCGCCCATAGTATGTTGTTTACATTTTTTTTTAAGGATGTCATTGTGTTATCATATGTGCTGGTGAATGAAATTATGGATTTTAAGTCATTCCACTCATTTTTTGTGACCTGTAGTAGTTACATCTAATGTTAGTGATAGATTGTGTGTGGACAACTGTGTTTTTAACCTTTATTCTTTCAAATGTACCAGTGGTCCATTTAAACAAACAAAATGAGAGAAAAAACATGTTACAAAGATGCAATTTAAATGTGATGTTATGTACATTTGGTGTTTTAAAGAGTTATATGTGCAAAATCATTGTCATGGAACCAAAATATAAAATTAATATAAGTACATCAAATGTGTAGTGGTTTTTGTTGTTGTTGAAGCACATTTACCAAGTCATTTTGCGTTTCAAGAAGGATCGCAATAAAATGATCTAATAAATGTAGGAAAGAAGGACATTTGCACTTCATTTAGATCTTGTAAGTTAGAATTTAAATGAACATTTTAATAATGAAAGTTGGGCTGAGAAACGTTCTTCTTAAGGTATTCTTAAAAAAAGGGATTGCAATTATAGGCTTATATATATATATATTAGGCTATAGCTATAGGCTTATTCATACTCAAAATGATTCGTACTAATACTATTCTTCATACTAAATAATATTCATACAAAAAGCAAAAAATAAAAAAATAAAAGTTTGATTTCATGGGGACTTTAAAATCGAAATTGCCTATATATGTCAGATTTTTAAATAATAGCCGACCAGAATCAATAGCTAACAAGAATGGGTGATTCAAGGGGTATAGGCTAGTAGCCTAGGCTATACGCAATGAATCGCAGTCGCACTATCACGCCATTTAATAAATATGTAATATAATAATTTCAATTACTAGTAGCTTTCAGTCTTGTCTGCTAATAAGTGCTGAAATCACACGCGACCGTGTGCGCGTTCAAGATGACGCGCAACATCGCCGCTGATGTGCTGATCCGCGCGCGAGAATGCCCGCAGCTGCAGATCTGTGCTCGTGTGTGTGAGGATCATGATCACGGGCTCGATGGGCTGCGGGGGAAGCAGATCCGCCGCGATCGAACCCCGGTATTTCGAGAGCAGGGACACCGAGTCGACGTGGCTCACGAGCACGGACACGGAGACGCTACGGGCAGCTGTTGGTAACGGGACCGGCGACGGCGCGAGCGCGAATGAGAAAACAGCAACAACAGCAGCAGCAGCAGCAGCCGGATCAGGTCAGACACGATCGTCTTTATTAAAAACAGACGTAATATAGATCATATAGAAATGACTAGTTATACACACCCCTTTGTACCTTACATGAAAATATAAAATATCATTCATATTCGATGTGTCTTACTGTATATTAATATGGTAATCTGACACCCTCATTGAGGCCCATATTGTATAATACACACAGAACTAATAGAAATATAGAATATAGGCAAATATTTACCACAATAGTGTCCAAATCCAATTGTTGTGGTAATTTGTTATTAGTCATAATTTCAAGCATTAAAAACTGAAGCTTTTAGATGAAAAAGTTCAATTTAGGCCAAATGTTTGTCTGGTTGTGTCCTGGTTCTCACTGGGCCTCGAGACTTAAAATGATTTAAAATAAGTCAAAACAAGCATTAAAATGAAATTTAACAAAACAGTAACAACAGCAACAAAAATGGTGTTTCTTATTTTGGTTGACACTGTCACTGTTTCCTTTTAAAAACTAGTATTCCCACTGTCATATATTAATTTAAAAGGCAAAACTTCATAGTAGGCATGTTTATCATGAATACATATTTTACTAGTTATGACAAGCTCTAAAATATTTTATTGGGTAGAAATTTTGAGTTTATTTTATATATAATATTAAGCCTTATCCATTAAATCTTGAATGACTGGAAAAAGAGCCATGTAAATGTATTGGTTAAATAGATATAATAATAGATTATAATAATTGTCATTATAATTACAGAAACTACAGAAGTTGCCAAAAGGGATGTCCGACCTTGGAAAATTGATGCCATAAATTAAATTATTGACTTCTAAAATTTGTTAAAGTATTGGTGAACAGTTAGTAATTTGATAATGCAATAAAACATGCCAAATTGTGACTTTTGGCCATGCAGTCATACAAATAAATTATGAGCACATTACACAGTCGAAAGTCCTTGGTTGTAGTCTTTTCCTGTGAGCTTTTATTCATCTTCTATGCATTTTTAATAAAGACATCACCAAAGTTTGGAGTCAAAAAGTTTGAGATCCATTAGTGCACATTCATATGAAGAACGTCTGTGCTGTTGTTTCTGTAAAGGTCAAAGGGAAGAGAAGCCCATGACGGGGACCAGAGGTAATTCTGCCAAAGAGAAGAAGCTGGTGAACACCGGCACGCAGTGTGGCAGACGCGCCACGCTCACAGACAGCACCCAGAGGAGACCAGCACACAGAGACGAGGTCAGGAGCATCAACACTCATCACTGGTCATAATTCACCTCATAATCAAAAAAGATATAGTTCTTAAAGAGATAGCGTAACACGAGAATGAACCTCATTGGTTCTTGCAGAAGCTCAAACGTGTGAGTTAATGAAGGTTTGTAGGTAAATTAAAGCCTAAGTTCAATCTGTTCATCATATAAAGCGATCGTAATTTTTCAGAAAATTTTCGACTAGACCGCTCAATAGGGTTGGGTATCGAGAATCGAGTATCGATTGGAACCGAGACTAACTTTTCGTTTTTCCCGAAAACGTTCAAAAGTAAAAATTTAGATTTCTAGTTTTGATATTCACAGTCCGCCGAGCGGAAGAAGAAACCGCTGAACAACACCAACGAAGAAGCGTCTACCGGAAGTGTTGGCATAACCACGCGAGTCGAACATGAGTACCTTACGTCGGCGATCCAAAGTGTGGCTTCACTTTTCTAAAAATAACGAAATCTCGGCAAAATGCTAAATTTGTGACAAAAGGAGTATTTTTACAGATGGATTATTTCCTTCAGAAAGACCGTTGGTTAGCAAGGTTAGCTAAACTTTTTTGACCCTGCCTCTTAAAAGAATCGGAATCGAGAATCGTTAGGAACCGGAATCGAAACAAGGAATCGGAATCAGAATCGTTCAAATTCAAACGATACCCAACCCTACCGCTCAATTCATATGGATTAGTGTCTTTTACTTCATGCAACAGTTCTTTTTTCTTTGTTTTGACGTTGGGTTATGTAAAGATGAGCTGGACCTTGTATCTTCATCTATCATGCATCTCGTATCAGCATGCAGTGCATCTTTATTATAGGCTGATATTCTTTTCTTGCAGGTTAAAAGTAAATCAAAGAAAATCCCCCAGCCTGAAGGGGTTAAAAGTGTCCGTCCGGAGGTGATTCCTTGACATGAGAGTCGCTGCTGTCGAACACAATCACAGTGCCACGGTCTAACGAGGGACTTTCATTGTAATTAAATTAAACACACATCAGATGGCAGATTTGATCTAGCTCCGTCTGTTCGTCTGCATGTGAACGTCGAGCGCCGGAGCAGACGAAGACCCTGACATGCTGCAACACGTGCCATTTTCAACTGGATCAAGCTTTTATAGAGCTGAATCTTTGTTTCTAAAGTACTCAAATGTTATTTATTTCCAAGCCGTGAATATTGTCCTGGTATTATGTATTTGCCTGTGTGATTTCCATTAGTATTGTGCAGGTTAGTGATATTCTAGTGCCTAACGAGTCTGTTTGATAATGCAGATGTCTCAGGTTGTGATTGTATGAAATGAAGATTCATCCAAACATCACATTGTCTTGCTCCTCTGAATGGAAACTGTCTGCTTTCCAGTCTTCAGACGGATTTGTTTATGATTTAGTGAAACAACGTGTTTGATTTGAATCTGTCAATTTGTTCATCATAATTATGACATTTTTTATAGGGACGCTGGGAAGGATCCCCCCCCCACCCCCCGAGTAAAAACAGCACAAGAATATTTTGACTTAATATTTTACTATAAAAACTAAGCAATTGATAAAAAATTAAAAAAAAGCATAATGAATATTCTAAAACTGAAAGAGTTTCTTATCTTATAAATTACATTTATATTTCAACAGTGTTTGTTAAGTTTGTCTCATCATGTACCACTGATATAAATATTGTAAAGTATGATGATTTTAGGTGTCAGATCATATTTCACCCAAATTAACTGAAATAAGTCATAAAATTGTATTAGAGCCCGACCGATAAAGGATTTTGAAGGCCGATACCGATACAAATATTTTTGGGTTTTAAAATCTGATATTCCGATATATCGGCCGCTATTATTTTTTTCAGAAACGCGCAACAGATTTCCCTAACATTAGTTATTTGTAGTTATTTATGAGTTTTAACTAAAATTGTAAAACATACATTTTCAATATAACAAATGATACGTCTCATTGCTATAACTGTCACGCGCTTAAATACTTCAGTCACATTGTCAAAAGTTAAAAGGACAGTCAGTCAACTACATTGTAACAACGTAACGTAACTATTACTAGCTAATTCCGCTTCACTCTCGGCTTATTTAACAGCAGCAAAACTGGACATGATAGTCATTCACAAATTCTGTCATGCTTATTTGAGTTAAGAGAACTGATGGGGATGTTCTTTTAATTGTTATTCAAGCAATTTACACTCACCGGCCACTTTATTAGGTACACCTGTCCAACTGCTCGTTAACACTTAATTTCTAAGCAGCCAATCACATGGCGGCAACTCAGTGCATTTAGGCATGTAGACATGGTCAAGACAATCTCCTGCAGTTCAAACCGAGCATCAGTATGGGGAAGAAAGGTGATTTGAGTGACTTGGAACGTGGCATGATTGTTGGTGCCAGAAGGGCTGGTCTGAGTATTTCAGAAACTGCTAATCTACTGGGATTTTCACGCACAACCATCTCTAGGGTTTACAGAGAATGGTCCGAAAAAGAAAAAAACATCCAGTGAGCGGCAGTTCTGTGGGCGGAAATGCCTTGTTGATGCCAGAGGTCAGAGGAGAATGGCCAGACTGGTTCGAGCTGATAGAAGGGCAACAGTGACTCAAATAACCACCCGTTACAACCAAGGTGGGCAGAAGAGCATCTCTGAACGCACAGTACGTCGAACTTTGAGGCAGATGGGCTACAGCAGCAGAAGACCACACCGGGTGCCACTCCTTTCAGCTAAGAACAGGAAACTGAGGCTACAATTTGCACAAGCTCATCGAAATTGGACAATAGAAGATTGGAAAAACGTTGCCTGGTCTGATGAGTTTCGATTTCTGCTGCGACATTCGGATGGTAGGGTCAGAATTTGGCGTCTACAACATGAAAGCATGGATCCATCCTGCCTTGTATCAACGGTTCAGGCTGGTGGTGGTGGTGTCATGGTGTGGGGAATATTTTCTTGGCACTCTTTGGGCCCCTTGGTACCAATTGAGCATCGTTGCAACGCCACAGCCTACCTGAGTATTGTTGCTGACCATGTCCATCCCTTTATGACCACAATGTACCCAACTTCTGATGGCTACTTTCAGCAGGATAATGCGCCATGTCATAAAGCTGGAATCATCTCAGACTGGTTTCTTGAACATGACAATGAGTTCTCTGTACTCAAATGGCCTCCACAGTCACCAGATCTCAATCCAATAGAGCATCTTTGGGATGTGGTGGAACGGGAGATTCGCATCATGGATGTGCAGCCGACAAATCTGCGGCAACTGTGTGATGCCATCATGTCAATATGGACCAAACTCCCTGAGGAATGCTTCCAGCACCTTGTTGAATCTATGCCACGAAGAATTGAGGCAGTTCTGAAGGCAAAAGGGGGTCCAACCCGTTACTAGCATGGGGTACCTAATAAAGTGGCCGGTGAGTGTATGTCAACAAGTGTTGCCAACAGGAACGGTGTAGAGTGCCCTCTGGTGGACAAACTATACAACTCCAACACTCATGACATGGTTCAAGCGTGTTTCGTCTGTTTTTATTTTACTTTTGAAATATTCATTTATCGGCCATTATAACTGCCGATAGCGATAGTTTGAAAAATGCCTAATATCGGCCGATAATATCGGCCTGCCGATATATATCGGTTTGGCTCTAAATTGCATACAGGCAAAATGACATCGACATAAAAGAGAATCTAATGAAGGGAAACATCTACATAACACTAAAACGAATGTTGTGATGTATTTTGCATAAAGCAGACGCTTCACATAGAATTACTGAGTAAAATTCACACCCCAATTATTATTGTATTTTTTTATTTTTTAGCATCACTGGCTAAGAAAAAAATGAAAAAATTACAGCCAGATCAAAGTACCATGTGGACTGTTTCCCATGCAAGCACATTGCATTTGATTTTTTTTTTTACACATTTATTTACTGTACATGTTCCAAGTTTTTATGACTGATAAGAATGTGTCAGCAGTTTAAACATCTACAGCATTTGTGCAGATTTGTTACTGCAAACAGACACATTATTTTGGACTGTATATTAAATTGACTTTACGATATTGCAATGCTTAAAAAGGCAGTGTTTATAAGGCAAATGAATTGCTTTAAAGAGGGAATTAAGAGATACTTCACAGCTAATGAATAAAACGAACACCATCCATCCACACAAGGCTGTCTCAGCACTCATATCAGTCTCTCATTTCATACTGGATATTGAAGGAAAAAGGCAACTTTACAAGATCTTGCTTCAATGATTTACCAGGTACAAATTCGGTTTTCTATAAAATTAAACACTGATTGTTACATTATCAGATGATTTTTTTAAAACCCAAAGAACAAACAACTAGCAAAATTATAAGATGAGGTTGTACTGAAAACATTAAAGTAACGTATATTATAAAACATTCTGCAACTCTGTATTCTTTATTTTACCACAACAGTGGAAGAAATAAACTTCCGATGCATCAGCTGGTCCAAATATAAAAACACAAATCCCCAGATAATAAAAATGAGTTATAAAAGCTCTTTTACAGATGACGTCTTGGTAAATAGTTCTCAAAACGAAACCGACTGTAAATTAAGGTTTGACCCCAAGTGTTTCTCACATGTGATTGACGGATCAGATTTAAGATTGCATTGAACTTAGATCCAGATCATATTAAATAAAATACTGTCTGAATGCTTGGGGAAATTTATTTATATCATTACAGTTTCTGAATGAGACTTTTGTACCATCATCATCATCATCATACTAAATCAACTAATCAAAATATATCTCTAAATGACGATTAAATACTGTACACCCCAAATTTTTACCTGACACATAAAGCATAAATTATGCAAAAATAAATGCAACTCTTAATGTTTATAAACCCAGACCGACCTCATCATGCCTGCCAATAAATAAAATGGCGCATACGACTTGCAGGGGTGCATTTATCTTAAATTACTCAAAGTCAATCAACATACGGATCATTTACAGTCAAATCACATCAATAACATGAGCTGTACAAATATATACAGTACACACCGCCAACATATACAAAAGTCACATAGAAAACAATATCTCATGATGTTTATAATTGTTGCCAATTGATTTTTAGCTTGCGTTGAGTGACGTATTTGTGCTTATCGGTTTAAACGTCCATAAACGAGACACACACGATAGATTTTAGAGTCAACATGAACTCAAAACTGACTCTTTTCACTTTCTTAAAGGATGTTCCTGGTCTTATTGTGAACAATACGCAAAACCCAATCTGACTTTTTTCTTTATGAATACCCTGGTTGCAAGTCACGAGACAAGGTTTGTGAAAGTAGTGAATATTCAATGTATTGTCCAGCCCTAACGTCACACTACGGAAGTTGTGAATATCATTTCATGCTGACTTCAAGACCTGTATGAAGACGGCATTCACTTCTGAAGTCGTGATTACGGTGCTTTGTTCTCGGAAAGACCCGGAATCATGGAGGACACCAGGTTTATTCCTGCCTATTTTTTGGGAAAATCTTAATAATTCAAAATGATATGTAGCATCCCATTCATTGACAATCATATAACAGTCACTGCACTATCTAGATTAGGAATTCGGTCAAATACAGGCTATTTACACAGTGTATAAAACACACGCTTCAAATGATTATTCGTATATGTAAAAATGCTAACTTTAACAAACAAAACAAAGTGATAAAGCTGTTGTGGAAAGCACTGATAACGAATAGCAGTCACAGGAGGAATCGTTCTTGGGAAACTAGGGAACTTAGCTATACAACTTGAGACGGCGTTCATGTTCAATTTTTAATTAGGAAACTCGTATTTAATTAGGAAACACGTAATTCCGGTAGCAGAAGGCAGCATTAACTATGGAAGCCCATTTCTGCCACATAAAAAAAACAAAAACTTAATAATGACAGTCATGAGACAAAAAGTCACAATTATAAAATACTATGTCATAATTATGATTTTTTTAAGTCATAATTTAGACATTTTGGCCTGGTTTCACAGAGAGGGTTTAGATTAAGCCAGGATTAGGCCCTAGTTTAATTACGACATTTAAGTATCTTTTATAAACGTACCTTAGAAAAAAACATTACTGGTATGCATCTTGAATATCATCTTGCAAGTTTTTTTCAGTTAAAACAGATCAAACATGCATCTTAATCTGGGACTAACTTAAGCCGGTCTGTGAAACAAGGGGATAATGTCATTTTTTTCTTAATTTAGATGTTTTATGTCATAATTACACTTTAGTAGCATATCATAGTTATGATTTTTTTTATGTCATAATTGTGATTCACCAAGGCATTTTTTTATGTAACAGAAATGGGCTTCCATACTTAACCTGGGGTTATCGCCATTCTAACCCCAGCTTTTTAACCCCGGGTTAAGGGAACGTTTAACACTTGTAATTTAGAAGCACCGCTTTTTACCCAGGGTTATGAAACCCTTCTCAGAAGCAGGGTTGGTGTTACTTTTTCACT